ATACTTGCGAAAATAATAGTAGAAAATTACTATAACAGATATTACACTCCAATGTTAGATACAGGAGCAGAAGCAAATATGTGTAAACATAATTGTCTACCAGACGAAAAATGGGAGAAATTAAAAATACCTATAGTCGTAACAAAATTTAATAATGAAGGAAGTATGATAACATATAAAGCAAAAAATATAAAGTTACAAATATGGGATAAAATATTAACTATAGAAGATATATATAGTTATGAATTTATAAATAAAGATATGCTTTTAGGAATGCCGTTTTTAGAAAAACTATACCCTCACATGATAACAAAAACACATTGGTGGTTTACCACACCATGTAATAAAAAAATAGGAGCAAAAAGAGTAAATAATAAAAATAGAAAGTCTACACCATGGATTAAAGGGAGTGAAAAAATCACATAAAAACTAGAAAATATTAAAGAAAGTGCCCACAATATAGAGTTAATCATATTTTCAATAGATAAATTAAAAATAATTCAAGAAAAATTAGATATGTTATATAGTGAAGATCCCTTAAAAGGATGGGAAAAACACAAAACAAAAGTAAAAATTGAACTAATTGATGAAAATAGTATAATAACCCAAAAGCCATTGAAATATAATTTTGAAGATTTAAAAGAATTTAAAATGCATATAAAAGAACTATTAGAAAACAAATATATTCAAGAAAGTAATAGTAAACATACAAATCCAGCATTCATAGTAAATAAACACAGCGAACAAAAAAGAGGTAAAAGTCGTATGGTTATTGACTATAGAAATCTAAATGCAAAAACAAAAACATATAATTACCCCATACCAAACAAAGTATTAAAAGTAAGACAAATACAAGGATACAATTATTTTAGTAAATTTGATTGTAAATCAGGATTTTATCATCTAAAGTTAGAAGAAGAATCTAAAAAATTAACAGCTTTTACAGTACCCCAAGAATTCGATGAATGAACGTACTACCTTTTGGATATAAAAATGCACCAGCTAGATACCAACATTTTATGGATAATTACTTTAATCAACTAGAAAATTGTATAGTATACATAGATGATATATTGTTATATTCACAAACAGAAGAAGATCATATACGATTACTAGAAAAATTTATACATATTATAACACACTCAGGAATAAGTTTGAGTAAGAAAAAGGCAGAAATAATGAAAACTCAAATAGAATTTTTAGGAATACAAAGAGATAAGAATGGTATAAAAATGCAAAATCACATAGTACAAAAAATAATAAATTCTGAAGAACAAATAGATACGAAAAAGAAATTACAATCATTTTTAGGATTAGTAAACCAGGTAAGGGAATATATACCTAATTTAGCAGAAAATCTTAAACCTTTACATAAAATACTAAAGAAAGATGTAGAATATTATTTTGACAAAAAAGACCAAGAACAAATACAAAAATAAAATTATTATGTAAGAAATTACCTAAATTATATTTTCCAGACGAAAATAAAAAATTTATATACATAGTAGAATCAGATGCAAGTGAAATAAGTTATGGAGGAGTACTAAAATACAGATATGATAAAGAAAAAATAGAACATCATTATAGATATTATTCAGGAACATTTACAAATCCTGAAATAAAATGGGAAATAAATAGAAAAGAATTATATGCACTATATAAATGTTTATTAGCTTTTGAACCATATATCGTATATAATAAGTTTATTGTAAGAACAGATAATACGCAGGTAAAATGGTGGATCACAAGGAAGATACAAGATTCGGTAACAACCAAAGAAATACGAAGACTAGTATTAAATATACAAAATTTTACATTTACAATAGAAGTGATAGGTACAAACAAAAATGTCATTGCAGATTACATTTCAAGACAAAGCTACACAGATGAATCTAGACAAATAAAATAATATTGAAAAGATACTCAATACTATGACATTGCTTTGTACAAAAGTAGATAGCCTGGATAAAGAGCTACAACAAATGAAAAGTCAGCAGCACGACAATAAATATGCGGAGCTAAGTCAATCGGAAGACTTGAAAATTTCAGAGCTAGAAGGTGACGATGGGAAACACCGAAAAACCCAAACTAATAATTTGTTACATGCAGCTACAGGAAGCACCTCTGCAACAAAGGAAGAAAACAAAACTAGATATGTTAATACAAACATGAACAAAATATTTGAAAAGCCATTTACACCAAAAACTCAAAAAGAACCATTATTCCTACCACCTCAGCTTAATACATATAAGGAGAGTATAGGACAAAACAAAAAGACATATAATCATATAACCAGGGCCTATATAGAAAATATTCACAAAATACAAACTTTCTTAAACCTAAATCCCAGATCCAAAAATGTAAAAAACCTTAATGAAGACTATATTACCCAAAACCTACAAGGATATAACAAATTGATTGCACAACCAGGAACCAGCACCAATCTAGTAGGAACTTGCTATCACTATGGATTACTAAGTACCGTATATACCGTGACATGAGACGAGATATCAACAATCCCAGAGCTACACAAAGCATTTATGCATTATAAAAGAATCACTAAAGGAACACTATTTTATATAAAATTTTATTCAGCACCAGCCGAGATATTATATGACGAAATCAAACCTATTATACAAGTAATAAAGATTGGATTGACAAGAGAGGTGATAATACCAGAAAAGATAGAGAAGCAAGAGGAAATACAAAAGATTGAGATACCAGGATTCTATGCAAGAAAAAGAGTTATTGGGATAGCTACAATATTAAATGAATTATCGACTAATTATTTAAGTGGAAATTCGGTATGGAGTTATTATGCCAGATAACAAACCATGATATATTCAAACTCTAGAGAAACCAGAGAAACAGATATGGAAGAAATATGTCAGTGGATATTAAGTCTACTAAAACCTGAACAACAACCAACTACAAGAGCTATACGACGAAGTTTTATTTCACCAAAGATAATGGCAAATTATTGCAGAACTATTGGACACAAATACCCAAACCATCAATGCTCAAAATGTTATGGCGAAGATAATGTAATTCTAGCTGTCAATCTAGAATAAAGAAGGCCGACAAGATAAAAAATCAACAAAGAAAAAGTTATTTGTCCTATTCGAAAAGTAAAGTTAGTGGAAGATAGTTAGTGGAAGAATAAATTAATGTAAAGTAGTAAGCAACGTGTACATTACTATTAGAGATGTAAAGTAACTATAGTTGATGTAAAATAACTATAGTTTATGTAAAGTAACGATAGTAGAGTTACTTATAGTTGTATATATAGTAGAGCCAGAAGGCGAGATAAGGCAAGACTTTCTCGACGGAAAGCAAAGCCTCTTGTATACAAAATATTCTCTAATAAAAATCTAAATTTCAAGCTAAGCTATGGATCAAAATATTCCAGATACTACACAGATACATATATTCATGATTATGCATAGCTAAATCTATTAATTCCTGAATATCATAGTATTGATAGAATAAGTTTATATTAGTTATTATATACTAGAATTCTTACCAGCATGTGTTCTAGTTTGTTAACATGAGGAAAAAAGGAAAAACTTTCAGACTATGTCATCCTAAAGTTGAAACCATAGGCATGAGAAGTCGTGAGGGGAGTAAACGAAGTTGAGGCGCTGTTAGGAAGAGAGTACCTTTGAAAGTACAATGTTAATAGTGACAGGAAAACATGGTTGTAAATAATCTAGTTTATAGTAATCTAATATGAATAATATTCGTCAAAATTATGATATAAGGGAATTGTATGAAAATTGTTATGTCTTATTTACATGATGAAATGTTATTAACATATAAAACATTAATCCTGTATATACTTGAAAATATAAAAGTCATAGATCTAAGAAGGATAATATGGGAAAAGATATTTGAAGAAGAGGAAGAAGAATTAATAAACCAGATATGGTATGAGATAGATGAGATAGATAGGATAAATAATGAAATCTTAGACTTTAATTTAAGTGATTTAGAAATTCAATATTCAGATTAATGATAAATCAAGAATACTTAGAATATTGGCAACAAACTATAATAGATATTACTTTATTAAGTAATTTAATAAAAGAAAACATAGAAACATTTCAACAAACTCACAACATACAATATATAAATTATATATTGGAAAACATAAAAGAAATTATAAGATTAATATCTTTAGAAAAAATGTATTATGAACGAATTAACCTTGAGAGGTTGCCAACGATTTATACAAACGAGAGGCTGACAACAATTTATACAAATGACTTGCCAGCGAAATTATACAAATCTAAAGAGAAGCCAGCGAATTATACAATTGCTTCTTTTGTATATATGTATAGCGAAATAGCCTAGCTTCTTTTGTATATATGTATAGCGAAATAGGCATAGCATGTTTGCTATGGAGCGCAATTATGTAAACTATAACTATAACATACAAATATGATTTTTGTGTTTGCTATATGTGAAAATTGTTTTTTTTTTTAACAATATATATTTTTAGGAAAAATTGAGGCCCAATCCATTACTTCGGTAGCCTTATGATTGAGACTACCCAACGTGGAGCGCTTCAATCAGTATATCACCTAGTCCTTTACCCACTACACTTGTCAAAGAAAACCAAAAAACAAATCAATTGACCTCTTATAAGCTCTGACTGGTGACATCTAGATCCACCTAGTAATTACGAGAAGTGTAAAATATTATGCTTCAGTTGTAATTACACCAAATTCAATTACCAGGATGTCCTTCCAAACAAACCCTTAGTATACTTCTCTTTATTGTCTGATTTATTATTGTTTAAAATTTGCAATTATTAGGTTTCACATGACGTCTTGTTTAGATCCAACAATGTATAACTGATAAAATACAAAATAAAACTAATTTTATTGAGATAAATATTTTAAACTAAAATAGAGAAATGAACATAATATATTGTTGGGGGTTCAACTCCCCAATGCTCAACTAGAAACTCATTTAGCTTCAGGGGATGTACTTATCACTCATTGAGCTTTAAGCACCTGAGATTGATATTGTCCTAGAGCCCAAATTGGAAAGATGTTCCTATATGCAGAATACGATGTCATGCAATTCTTGTTGAACACTCCGATTATCTCCTGCGAAATTCAAGATTATGGCAAACATAATATAAGTACTTGTATTTTTTTAGAACAGACAAACATAATATAAGTTAAGGTATACATAATTTGAAATTTATGTGCAATGCTCGAAGAGAAGTAAGTAAATAAGATAGCATTACAACTAAATAGGGGTGCGATATTTTTCTTTGATACATCACATGCATTACCTCTAGAAAAAGTTGTTAGTTCATATTTCTATGTAGATATATGGCACCTGCGCCTAAATCAACTCCAAAAATTAGCTCACGTGAGGAGGATTGTCCAAGTCATATAAGGAGACCACCAATCAAATCAATGTGGAACGTTTACCCACTTTAACACCCCCTTCACTCCCAGGCCCAACTGGAGCGTGGACCGGGAGTTCAAACTGAGATGGATCTGACTTTGATACCATGTAAAGATATGACATCTAGGCCTAACTCAACCCCAAAAGATAGCTCTATAAGAAAAGAGGATACATTTACAATCTATAATATTCTATAAAGATATGACACCTGAGTCTAACTCAACTCCAAAAGCCAGTTCATGAGAGGAGTATTGCCTTAACTCCGAAAAAGGATTGCTGATGTGCAATCTTGGAAGAGTTAAAGAAAGAAAATTTGTGACACTTAAGAAAACTTGTATCACGATTCAAAGTCTACAAAACGGGCCAACCTCCCCAATACTCCAACCCTTTTGAAGTCATAAATAGGTTAGCTGATACTACTTACATAACTAACAATTTGAATCCCTTTAAACAAATTAGAATGGATCTCTCCATTTATGTTTAGCCTGACATATTTCAGTTTGTTACTCAAGATTTTGGACCTTTAATATGTCTTAAGCTACAAATCTTAGTGACTGACTGCAGAATTACCTGCTGAGGAAAATCTCTATTTTCAAGCTGAGAATTTATCAATACCTTTGTTGCACGGTGTAATGGAGTCCGATCCCTCTCTGCCTGCACAACAAAATCTAATACATTTTAGTGGTTATCAGTTATCACAAAACAAAAGACTTCATTGATTTTATATAAAGCACAAAGTAATGCAGCTAAGAGAGATGTAATAATCATGTTGTAGAGAATCCGCTAAGAGTGATTGAATTCCTTCCGTGGTTCAACTATCATGAAGTCTATATCTGACTCTAGGTATGATTTTCTTAAAAGCAATTAACTAATCTTTCAAACTAATGGAAAACCATCAATTATTTAGCTTTGGAAGATAATTTTTGGTTCACAAGAAATAACATCATAATTTATTTAATGGCTTATCACTACACCAAAACTGAGCTCTTAATTGCTGCAAAATATGTACTTTTAGTGGCAATTAGACCTCTTTGTAAATGTCCCTAAAACTATAGCGACATTGGATTAACTAATGCCGGTAAAACTGGCTTTAGCATTCTTTAATTTGTTAATGTGTATATTTATTGACCCTAAAAGTTATTTTTGTTGTAGTGTATCGGTCCTTGAAGCTCTAACAAGACTAGTTGGTTTAACTAACAACTCCTTGAATGAGCTATGTTTGCAGTGGAAAGTTATTTGTACCTGTCCAGCTTCAATAAGTGCCAGCATAGCCCATGAAGTACAAACAATGTGAGATCTGTTACCCTCAAGATTTGTATACACCTACAAAAGCGCAAAAAAAATAATGAAACTTACAATGCAGAGAGGCAAAAATAACTCCAGCAATTGCAAATAATTTAAAGTTATGTACAACAGTTGAGCTAAAATTAAGCAGTTAATAGCTCGACATAGTTATCAATTGATTGTAACATTTTTCTATTCGTCTATCAAACACGATTACCAAATTAGTTGATTATACATGTAACTCAATGATTCCTTAATTATTTCTATGATATTTATAACATACAAGTTCTAAATCAAAGAGTTCTTTTGTGTTCAAGTATAGTAGATATTAAATTAGGGACTTCATCTCTCATTTTATCCAGCCGAAGAAAGTGAGAGACGTGGTATTACAAAACAAAAAGCAAGTTTGAAGATGTTATCTTTCTAGTATGTTTAGGTAAGACTCACAGGTGTTTTGATGTTAAAAAATTACATAAATAGCATTTTCCACCATACATAGAAAGAGTACAAGGTATCGGAATAACCATTACATGAAATGACTTTTACCTTGTTTTGACAAGACAGATAACTCTCTCCCCAGCCACCAGACACTACTTGTTTTGACAAGAGAAAATCACAGGCCTTACGGATGCTAGAAGAATTGTTGAAGCTCCTCCCAGCAGCCAGAAGGCCCTTCACCCCGAACCATGTGCCATACGTAAAGCAAATTCCCCAACATCCATACCTAAAAATAAACCTCAACATTAAGTGAGGGGAAAAGAGAAGGTAAGCAGCAAACAGACTTAAATAAGAACTAACCAAGAGCCATCTGCTGCTTGTATCTTTTCAATGAAGGCGGCACCTTTTTCAGTACAACGCTCCACGTCTTCTTTTCGATACCCAGGGTATAATTTTTTAAATGCTACCAAAGCTTGAATTACAGCTAAGGTACACTCTACGTAACTGCAAATATTTTTGGGGTTAATGTTAAGTTCTAGACTCTTAGCACACACCTCAAGTAATCTAATATATGAAACAAGATATAGGTGTTGATGCCTTACGGATAATCAATAACAATATCACCGAAAGTCTCAGCAGGGTTGATTATCTGAAGGAACAAAATACAATGCAACATTAACAAAGGACTTGCATAATAGAAATCTAAGCAGAAGAATGAGAAAACATGCAAGTAGTGTCTTATTTATACTCGTCATCAGAGAAGGTAGTATCTTACTGATACTATCAATAATGAGAATGAGAGCGGATTTGTTGTTGAGAACTCATGTTTTCACTTGTATTTAATTCGCTCACATATGGTTTTTATTGATCTGGAAAAGGCATACTACAAAGTCCCAGGGAGGTTGTATGGATTTTCTTGGAGTCTAGAGGCGTACCTGTGGCTTACATTTAGAGCGATTAAGAACATGTGTGATGGAGCCAATACCCGAATAAGAACTGTGGGTGGAGACTCAGAAAACTTCCAATAGAGATGGAGTTGAATCAGGGATCAACTCTTAGCCCGTTTTTATATACCTTAGTGATAGACGAATTAATACAACATCTTCGAGAGGATGTATCATGGTGTATGTGATTTGCAAATGCATAGTATTGGTTGACGAGATACCTAACAAAGTTAACACTAGCTAGGCTGGAGGTTTGGAGAGAGACCCTAGAGTCTAAAGGTTTCAAGTTGAGCAGTATTAAAAAAAAGTACTTAGAGTGCAAATTTAGTGAAGCAACATATGAGGTGGATATGAAAGTAAGGATTAATGAAACACAAGTCATCCCCAAGAGAGGAAGTTTCAAGTATCTTGGGTTAATGATCTAAAGAAGTGGGAGATAGGTGATGATGTCAGAAGAGCTCGCATCCTGTGTCCTATGTGATAAGAATGTGTCACCAAGACCTAAAGGCAAATTCTATAGAGTGGTTGTTAGACCAATACATAGTTTGGGCCGAAGTGTTGTTCAGTCAAGAACTCACACGTTTAGAAGATGAAAGTAGCAGAAATGAGGATGCTTAGATTGATGTGTGACCATACTAGGAAATAAGATATACGGGGCAAGGTGAGAGTAGCCTCAGTGGCCAACTATGTTGTATGTGACAAAGTATTGTTCAGTCAAGAACTCACATGTTCAAAAGATGAAAGTAATGAGGATACTTAGATGAATGTGTGACCATACTAGGAAATAATATAAACGGGGCAAGGTGAGAGTAGCCTCAGTGGTGGACAAGATGAGGAAAGTGAGGTTGAGATGGTTTGGGTATGTAAAGAGGAGAAGCACATACGCCATAGTGAGGAGGTGCGAAAAGTTGGTGGTGATAGGCCTAAGGAGAGGTAGAGGTAGACTAAAAAGAGTTGGGGGAGGTGATTATAGAATATGGTACATCTCTATCCCATCAAGGACATGACCCTAGCTAGTAGAGCATGGAGCTCGAAGATTAAGGTAGAAGGTTAGCATGTACGTAGTTGATCGATTTATGTGGGAGGGAATAATTCTAGCTTCGAGTTGTGGGGTCCATATATATATTTTGAAGTCATCATTTGTTGCACTAGGCAAACAACATTAGTCTTCCATTGCTCCAAAATTGCAACAATGTCAAAAAGCTTAAATGTTGTTTACCTACAAGTTTGAATTGTTAGTTTCCATTGATGTCATTAGTGACATTAAATGGGCAGAATTTTTCGTATAAATAGAGCACTTATGCTCATTTGTAAGGACACACCAAAATAGAGAAGCAATAGAGAGTAGAGAAAGTAATCCACAAATTATTTCTTAGTTTGTGAGAAAATAGTGTGAAATTAATATTATTGTGCATTGTAAGAAATAAAAGAGTGTTGAGTAGTAGTCTTTTGACACTACCAATTTTTTCATCAATATTATTGCATTACTTATTCGGGTATCATATTTACCCATTTTAATAATTGGTATCGTTGTTACTCTTTTCGTATTGTTATTTAGTTTGGACATTATCCTGGGTGTGATTATCATTTTGTCCTACAACGTGGTATCAGAGTCATGGCAAATAATAGTCCGTTGTCCTTCCGGTACCCGTCTCACTAGAGAAATTTATGGAAAATGGTGTCTACGAATGGAAGTCATTCGTGGCTCTCAAGATGTTTTGGACATTGTAGACAAATGGTATACAAAATCTGTTAATGAGGAAACTTTGTCCTCAAATGAAAAGGAGGTCTTGTTGAAGACAAGAAAGAAAGATCAACATGCCCTCACTCTCATCCATCAATGTTTGGATGATGGCATGTTTGAGAAGGTAGTTGATGCCACCACCTCAAAAGAAGCTTGGGAGATTTTACAAAGTTCTCTTCAACGAGTTGATAAAGTAAAGAAGATAAAACTTCAAACTCTAAGGCTGACTTTGAAGTTTTAAAAATGAAAGAATCTGAATCCATTTCGGATTTCTGTTCAA